TTCTTTTTTTCTTTTTTTCTCTTTTTCTTTTCTTCTTTTTTTCTTTACCTGCCCCCACCTCGGCAGATAGGACAGCTACGGTGAGGATGATGTGGATGTTCACAAGGATGCCCAAGGAGAGCTGCGCCAGCACAGCATTCTGCAGGACGGCTAGCACGAACCATCCCTTCAAAACAGTCCTGAYAGAGGACGTGTTGTCCACATGTCAAAAACACGGCAGGACGTTCATCACAGTGCGGCATCATACAGTTCTGATAGCGTCCTTGGGCACAATAGGGATTGTCACATGATATCAGAACGCCAAATCGAGAAAACAGAAAGAAAACAAGGAAAACAAAAAGAACTTAATTCGTTTTTAATCTTCTTATATCGTCAAACAGAGCTGCCCGGTAAACCGTAGGCAGAGAGGGAGAAGAGGACAACAAACGAGGGGCTGTGACAAACTGTTTCGTCGGAGTTTCACCGACTCATCAGGAGGCTGAACCCTCAACAGTCTGCAGAATCCCCCTAACTGATTACACTGTAACTGATATAATCCACCTTAACCCCGCGGTTGTGGTTAAGCATCACCGACTGCCCGAAAACCGATACCCCTCTGAGGTGGTGGGGACCACCAACCACTGCCCTGCCCTCAAGGTTACCCGTGACGAAAATCAAAGCAGACAATCACTCACCCACACCAGATGGAAAACTCTACAGACTGTCGGTTCACACCCCATCACAATCACAAGCCAACAAAACACTTCCCCCACAAAGAAAGGTCTGTCACAGCCAAAAACTACACTCTGCACACACGCCACTGGCACTGGAGGCACAGCATGGCCGCGTAGTGACGGCCCCGACCATTGCCGCTCGACCTGACCGGAGAAAACCGTAGCAGGGTGCTAGCGAAAGTCGTGGTATACATCGTCAATCAGAGCTGCACGGTAAACCGTAGGCAGCAGAGAGGGAGAGGAGGACAAACACAACAAACGATGGGCTGTCGTCAAACATATATTTACTTTAAGCTAGTGAGAATGCTCGTCTGTTCCTCGATGTATTTCTGACTGTCGTCAATCTTGAACGCCAGCTGTCTGACATCCACGTCCAGTGGGGTTGCCTCTAATTCCTGTACACTCCGCCGCAGCTCCGCAAACAGAGCGCTGAGGTCTGCTACCTTGGCATTGAATTGATTGTTCTTCGCTGCACAGTCTGCAGCCCACTGACGGATCTCCCCCTCCTTCACACAATCCAGCAGCGTGCGACGGCCGTCTGCCTGCAGGTCAGGGTGCAGCTCGCAGGCTCGGAGTCTGACCATCTCCTTCTCGAAGTTGTTCAGCAGATCTGTGTGGTGTTTATGCTGCCGCTCGTACGTCTTCATAAAGTCTTTGTATTGATGACAGATATGCTTGTAGTAGATCCCCATGTTGCCCCGTCCCGTTAGAATCGCCTGTTCTTGAACCTTCTGCTCCTCCACGAGGCGCTGACACGTGTCAAATCGTGATTGACTGGCCTGCCAAACCGCGTGGCCCTTCTGCAGATGGTACTTGAACTGCCGCTCGTAATTTGGCAGGGTCTGTAGCAGAGGGCTGTCGGAATCGAGAAGCGGGTGTCGCACTCCCACCACCGACGACGGGCCAGCCGGGATCTGAGGTTCCACAATCTCCACATCCTCGGGGGGAGGTGGTGGTGCCCCACTCATCAGTCTGGCTTTGTTGAACAAGAACAGTTTCTTCTCATCGGACGGCAGACGGTAGGCGGCCAGGACTTTGGAAGATTCCAACTTGGTAGATCCGCAAATGAGAATTTGGTCCTGGGCTGGGATTGCAAGGAGAGAGGCAAGCGTTTTCTGCAGAGCCTCCACGCTGTCACACACAAATACACAGGCAAACAGACAGACAAAGAGAGAGAGAGAGAGAGAGAGAGAGAACGAAGTAAATACATGAGAGTTTGGTCCTGGGCTGGGATGCCAAGGAGAGAGGCAAGTGTTTTCTGCAGAGCCTCCACGCTATCACACACACACATACACAGGCAAACAGACAGACAGACAGGCAAAGAGAGAGAGAGAGAGAGAGAGAGAGAGAGAGAGAGCTAACAAAGTAAATTCCAACAGACCCTCCCTATGGGGGAAAGAGGAGGGGGGAAGGGGGGGAGGGTCAAGGACTTCTTTTCCCCTCTTTTCTTCTCTCTTGTTTGACTTTTCTTTCTGTCTGGTCGAAGGCGGGGGGGTTGCTAAGAAGAGATGCATGAAGCGACTTAATGTTGCCGGTGTGTCTTCTGACGACCCGCTATGCTGTCACACACACACACACACACACAAAGAGAGAAAACCAACAAAGTAGGCCAACCCTTCTTTGTCTTTTTGGGGGTTGGGGGTTGAGGGATTATGAGATGCTAACGAGAATGACGAGGATAATGAGGATGAGGATGAGAGGAGGATGAATATGACGAGAGGACGTTGACGACGTTGATGAGAAAGATGAGAGAATGACGTTGATGAGACTGATGAGAATGATCAGAGAATGATGATGATGATGATGATTAGAGGATGAGAAGGCCGAGAGGAGGAGGGTGATGAGGATAGAAAGCGGACAAAGATAAAGAGGATGAAGAGGATGAAGAGGATGATAACGATGAGAAGGACGAGAACGGTAATTATGAAGTTGATGAGAATGATGAGAGGAGGAGGACGAGGACGTTGATGAGAAGGCTGAGAGGATGCTGAGACGATGCTGAGACGATGCCGAGAGAATGAGAAGAGGATAATATTGATGATAATGATATTGATGAGGATGGCGAAAATGATCATGATGAGGATAATAAGAACGAGAATGATTAGGATGGGAGGATGAGTATGACGAGAGGATGAGGATGAGGATGATGATGATTGTGTTGATTAAAGATGATTATTATCTTGATTAGAGATGATGAATAGTTTACGACGGTTATACACCCTCACGAACCTGCAGATGATCATCCCCCACCTCCCCCCTCATCGATCAACGATGCAAGATCCGTATAGCCTGAGGGGATAATCACACAAGGACTTTTCCTGAATGCATTTGACTGCAGGTAAGGCCAGATTCCGTCCAGAAAGTCCACCTGTGCATATGCACTCATCAGATTCGTACATCTGAACCGACTTCATTCGAATCCCTTCATCACCCACAAGCTTTCTCAACCAACCCGCCACCCAGAAGCTTTCAACACCCTAATCATCTCTCTAATTCACATAACCACACATTCATCATCTCTATCACCCACAAGATTCTCCACCATTCCATCACCCACAAGCTTTCTGCACCCTAATCATCTCGTCAATTAACATAACATAATAATCAACACAATCATCACCTCTAATCAACACAATCACCATCTCTAATCAAGATAATAATCATCTTTAATCAACACAATCATCATCATGGTCACGATTATGGCAAACTCTCACGATCATTATCGTTACCGTATCTCGTAATGCTCCTCATCATCGCCATCACCATCACCATCACCATCGTCATCATCATCATCACCGTCATCATCATCATAACCACCACCACTAGCAGCACCTCTACTGCTGCTGATTATTATCCTCCCGCTACCGTCATCACGATCACCGTAATCATCACCACCACCACCATAACCAGAACGTCTAGTTGCCATCACCTTCATCATTATCATTATCTCATCATGATCACCATCATCATCGTCTTCATCATCGCCATCTCCACCACCATAATGACCAGTATATCCCCGTCCCCATGATTCTTATCCACAAGCATCATCACCATCGTCACCATCCCATCACCACCACCATCATCACCAACCCATCACCATCATTATCTTAATCATTACCACCCCATCAACCTCACCGTCGCCGCCATCGTCATCATCATCATCACTCGACACCACCATCTTCATCATCACCCTCATCACCACCACCATTAACAGCATCTCCCTCGTCGTGGGCGCATGCGTGTATGCGTAGGGTGGGCGGGCACATGCATGCATGCGTGTGTGTGTGTGTGGTGGGCGGGCGTGGCTCTTTCTTGCCTGCTCTTTTTTTCTCACTCGAGTCCGGGTCTGCGCGCGTGTGTGTGTGTTGGGTGGGCAGGCGGGCGGGGCTCTTTCTTGCGTGCTCGTGCGTGGGTGGGTAGGCGGGCAGGCGTGTGCGTGCATGCGTCTGTGTGTGTGTTGGGAGAGGGGGGGGGGGAAGGGGGGGCCCGGGGCGCATGCATGTGTGCGTGCACCATGATTATTTTCCTTTCTCGCCCCCCGGTCATCATCATCCTCATCCACATCATCATCATCATCCTCATCCACATCATCATCATCATCATCATCATCATCATTATCCTCAGCATCAAGGTCATCGTCATCTACTACTCATCATCCCCCTCCTCTCTCGCATCATCATCATTACCAACCCTCGTCGTTCATCATCATAATACGCATTCACACATCCTCCTCCTCATCACCACCACCACAACACCATCATGATCAGCATCACCATCACTATCCCCGTGCGTCGTCGGCGTCATCCTCTTCATCACCATCTTCGTCATCACCGTCATCGTCACCATCCTCCGCCATCCATTCGGTACCTCTCTTCTACCCCCTTTTCCACCTCCTCCCGATCCCTTGATTATCTGAACCAATTCCATCCTCCTCCTCCTCATGATCAGGAGCATCAGCAGCGCCACTAGTGTAAATACTGCTCATCATCATCACCATCATTATCCGCTCCGTAGTCGTCGCCTCCGCTGCGTACGCAAGAACCGCCATAGCCAGAGCTGGATATGAGTTGAGCTTCAGCTCACAGCATGTGCGGCCACGTGGCATCGCCATAGCAGAGCTCGGTAAGCAGATCAGTTGTCATTAACAGTTCGTTGCATTAACTGAGGGCATCGCTCCACTACTCACCAAATGTGCAAAATGAGAATGAATCTTGCGGTAGAAGGTAGGAAGATGCACCGCGATATTTCTTTGCCTTTCGTGCATGTGGTGGTAGAAGGTAGGAAGATGCACCGCGATATTTCTTTGCCTTTCGTGCATGTGGTGGTCAGTAGTGGAGCGAGACCCTAAAGAGTGTGAATTCACGACTTGTCAATCTACAGTGCTGGGTGTGCGCGACTCACCTTTCGCCACGTGGGCACACTGCCCAGGCTATGGATAAAGCTACGGATGAGACAAAATAGAGAAAAGACCATGGATAAGGCGATGGATAAGACAAAATAGAGCAGAGCATGGTAAACAGCTGAATGGGATTAAAAAAATAGCGGTGGTAGGTATTGGATTCCCTCCCCTCACTTTTGTCGTCTTTTTCCTTGTTTGTTCCTTAACCATTTCCTTATCCATTTTGCCTTTTTTTTTTTTTCTGTTTTTTTCTTTTTTTTAACAAACCAACTCTGCATTTTATTGACGAGATAGCGGGAGGCTGGGAATCCCTACACAAACAGCCCCCCGGAAAGCAAAAGTAGTACTGGGACCATTTTGCCTTTTCAATTGCCTAAGAAGGACCTAGTTGCACCACTCGCCATACGCCAAGATTTTGAATGCATCTGGACGGAAACAACGTTCAGATGCACCCAGATGTTGGCG